CCAGCTTGACTTATACCCATGCACTTGGCTCTGTGCCTGGCACCTGGGGCACAGCAGGGTATCCCCAGGCCCTGTCCCCTGGGAATAGTCCCAGGGTCATGTCTACTCAGGATAAAGCACCCTGGGGGGGCAGCTGAGGGGCTGAGGGAGATCTACCCCCCTAGCCAGGGACAGGACCCCTGCCGGGCCACAAAGGTAGGGAAGGCTCTTTGGTAACGTTTTCAGCCCTGACTTCTCCCCAGGTAGAGACATTTGGGATATGGTCAACACCCACTTACCTCTTTAGAATTCGATCCCCTGCCTGGCTTCTAGGCTCCAAGCATGCTGGCTGGCAGAGCCCAGGGCAGCCCTGCCACTGCCCACCCTAGCGGGCAGGACCAGGTCTGGTTCAGATTGGGGTGGCACCAGGAACCCAGTGCTGTGGTGGTGTTCAGTCTGAGATTCCCTTTCTCTTTTTGCATCAAAGTGGGAACACTTGGGGCGATGGCCCTATACTTTTAGTAATAGCTTATCTATAATTCAGAAAGTATTTGGACTGGTAGCCATTTAAAGAGGCAGAAGTACACTGACCTTTGGTATGGAGTCTGTCTGAGCAAGAGTGGCAGAGTGCATGCCACGCTCTATCCTAAATTTATCTCTTGATAACACCTCTCAGATTTGCCCCACAGGCCAGGGCCTGGTGCCGAGGAGCCAAACCAGGATGGCAGTTTTTTGGGACTACTCAGGTGGCCCCAAGCTGATTCATTCATTCATGCCAGTGCCATAACTGGCGGAAGCTGTTCCATGCCAGTTGGCGGAGGCTGTTCCATGCCAGTGTACTGGCTGGGACTTTCCATTTCATTGCTGGCTGCAGGCTTCCCAGGCAAACGGCGCTGCTAGGGTGGCCCTGCTAGGGTGGCGTTGGGGCACAGCCATAGTCATAACACACCCAGCCTCCTCTCACCTGCTCCTGAGCCACCCTCACTGTTAGGCTGCCTTTTTCCTGACACCTGTGGGGGGGGGAGGTGGAGGGAGAAGGGAGAAGTGTGGGCCTCCCTGGGAGAGACGAGGTCTGGGAGGCGACCTGGGGCCTCTCCTGGCAGCCTGCACACCTGAGCAGGGTGGAGGAAGGCGAGGCGAGTGTGGTTGTAGGGGCAGTGAGCTGGGGCTGGCCGAACTGGGGAGTTGGCATCACTGCTTATCCACTTCCCTTGCAGTGGTTCACCCGGTCCCTACAGGCCCCCAGAACTCTGTGAGGTGGCCTTGGGGACAGTCTCAGATGCCAGCTTCCTTGAGCAGGAAGCAGGGGCTGAGCTCAATCTGGTGGGATCTCACAGTGAGTTGCACCCCGGCCAGTGACCCTCTGCCCGCCTGCCTTTCAGGAAGCTGGGAAGGTTGCAGTGTGGGTGCAGGCCTGTGGCCCAACCTTTGCCGAGACCCCCAGAGAGAGACTGCAAGGGCGTTGCCCTCTCCCACGGTCTCCCAAAGGCCTCAGAGGCAACCCCTGGGATATCTTGCTCTCGTGGCATGGCAGGGCAGTGGAAGGGCTTGTGGATTTACTACCTCCTTGTAATTATTTACATAATGGGGTATCTACGACAATTGGCTTCTGGTCAGCTCTTTAGACTGGCAGCTGCTTTTCTTTCTGGTCTTGCTGCCCAGGCGCTTCCCTTTGTCACGCCAACGGGGTTTTCTGCGGTTGTGCTGAGCGCTGCTGAGCTTCCTGCCTCAGCCCAGAGCCCTGGGTTCTTGGGAGCAGTGGGTGCTGCTTGGTGGGCTGCATGTGGAGCTTCTCCTGGTTCCTTCCCCTGTCCTGCTCTGGGGCCTCGGAGGACCCTAGGGACTTTTTCCTGGCCCATCCACTTCTTGCACCCTTGCTGCTTCTGGGGCATATGATGGGGCCTCTGGGGGTTGAAGGGACTTTGCCAGAACCTTCGTAAGCAGCAAATTGGAGAGGATAAGCAATGCCGCTTTTCATCAGGGTCCCCCATAGAGCGTTGGGGTGTTCATGTGTGTCTGACCCTGGCTTTCAGACTTGGAGGTCGAGGCTGTCCGGTGTGAACCAGCGCTGCTCCTCAGTTCCCTTCCTGCAGGAGTGGCAGTCCCAGCTTCTCCTGCTTGACCTCCAGAGCCCAGCTCAGATCCTGCCTCCTGGGTGCTCCCGCCAAAGCACTGCTCCCTGGGCTGAGCAGGAAGGGATCCCGCCTGCCACCTACAGCTCCCCAGGGAGGGAGGGTTGCCTCTGTGGTTGCCTTTGTGGTTTGAGCCTGAGGGACAGGACCATGGAGCTTCTAGCACCATCTGGGAGGTGTCCTTAGAGCTGCTGCCCTGCGGAGCCCCGCCAGGACCGCTGCAGCAGGCCCAGGGGTTCTGCCCAGCTTTGGGTGCAGGTGGAAGCTCTGAGAGGACTTAGCCTGTCACAGAAACCTGGTTGGGCTTGCTGCTGCCACCTTCTACCTACGTCAGAGGGATGTTTGAGCTTTCACTGTCAGATAAACAAGGCCCCCCACCCCCGCCCCCAGTTACCATGGAACTCACCAGCAGTGTTTTAATTTTAGCATTGACATTTGCGAGTCAGAAGCAGAGATGCTGGCCCCATGCCAAGGGAGCTGTGAGAGGGCCAGGCAGGGGTCAGCTCCTGTGGAGCTGCCACCAAGGCTGCTAGGGGCCTGTGGGGCTTGCCCATGCCACTTGCTGCTGCCTTCCGGGGATGGAGCAAAGCCCCCTGGTGCAGGGGCTGCAGGGCAGCACAGTCTATATGAATTTTGGGGGGCACCATAACAAATGACCACCAACTGGGTGGCTTGAAACAACAGAAATGTATACTCTCGCAGTCTGGGGACCACAAGCCCCAACTCCAGGTGTTGGCAGGGCCATGTTCCCCCAAAGGCTCCTTCCTTGCCTCTTCCAGCTTCTGGTGACTGCTGGCAGTCCCTGTGTTCCTTGTCTCAGACACATCACTCCAGTCTCTGCTTCTGTTGTCATATGGCCTCTTCCTGTATGTGTCCAAATTTCCCTCTCTTTCTAAGGACACCAGTCATATTGGAATAGAGCCCACCCTAATGACCTTGATTATACCAGACCCTATTTCCAAAGAAGATCACATTCATGGGTTCCGGGGGACACAATTCAACCCAGTACAAAGTCTCAGTGTGGGGCTTACACTGGCTTGACCTTAGGACGACCCTGAAGAACAGGGGAACAGGCTGGCCCTCAGGGTGTCTGCCGTGAGCCCAGGCACACGGAACACAGAGTAGGGACAGGGTGGCTCCTCCTGGTCCCCGGGCTGTCCCTGGGGCTGTGCCTCTGGAACTAGAAGGGGTTGTCCAGCAGAGAGGTGGGCTGGACCCCAGAGCTCCTCCCGAAGGTGGTCACTGGATGGTGACTGTGATGTGAGGTCAGGGAAGCCCTTGCTGAGGAGGTGCATTTGAACTGTGCCTTGAAGAAATTTTAAAGATCATTGGTTTATTTGAAGAGGTTGACATGGTTTTAAATTCAAAAGGCCTGTGGAGACTTCTCAGTGACATTTCCCCTGAACTCTAGTGCTAGTCCCTTCTCAGGGCCAGCAGAAGCTTCCAGTTCCCTAGGTCTCCTTCCTGAGATGGTCTGCCCTGGCCCTAGGTGTAGTCACCTGGTCCCCATCTCCCTGTGCTTTGCTCTTTTTCCTCTGGTCCTCCCTCTTGCTCAAGGCCACGCGCTATCTCGGCTGTGGACGTAACTTAATCTAACTAGTCCTTTCCTGGGAGGCCAAGTGACACTTCTTTCCTGTGCTCCTGTGGTTCCCCTGGCCACTGCTGCCTCTGAGACAGTCATACAGGGCGAGAAGCCAGGTGGCTTGACTGGGCTGTGATTTTTGTAGCCAGATCTCCCCCAGGATGAAGGACGATGTTTGGGCATGGGTGACAGATACCTGGGGTGCCGGTGCTCATTTTCTGAGGACATCACATCTGGCCCCTTCTTGAAGTAGGTTGGCTAAATACTTAGGAAAGAGGGAAGGTTACCGCTGATGAACATTATATCTTGGCCGTGTGCCAGGCACTACTGTTGGGGTGAGCTGGTGATCTGTGTCGCTCCTGTGATTCAGCCCTCAGCCTTCCCGTGGTTAAATTGGCAGTTCTCTTGTGCCTATTTTACAGGTAAGGAAGTGGGGGAATTAGAGTTTCGACAGCTTGTCCAGGTCACCCAGCTAGTAAGAGCTGGAGCCAGCACCAATATCAGAGTCTGACTCCCTCTGAGCTACTGATTGGAGAAGTGCTACACCCGGAGGGCGGCTGAGGGTACTGTCCTGGGGCCACACTGGCCAGTGGGGCCAGAGCAGGCCGGGTGACCTGAAGGTGGATGCTGGGCATGCTGGAACCATGGCACATGCTCATTGCCTGTCCCCTGCACGGTAGGACCTCACAATGGCTTGTTGGGATGTCATGGAGCCTCCCCACCGCTGGCTGCCACGGCAGGGGTGTGGCTTTCCTCTGGGGAGATGAGGCGGCGGGTCAGTTCACGCCAGGGGCAGCTGGCGACGGGGTTCACCCGTCGCAGGTCTCCAGGCTGCGATGCACCTCCACTTCTCAGAACAGGCGTTCCTCTGGGACTCCCAGTGGAGGGGGTGGTCCCCGGATTTGTTCGTCTTCTGCGGGGTCACAGCCTGTGCCCTTGTGCTCATTCAGCTCTGTGGTCCTTGGGAACTTGGAGGGACAGGCGTGCTGGGAACCCCGGCAGCTGTGCCAACGTCTCACTGCCTTTCCCAAAGGTCCCCATCATCACCCCTTCCTGGTCTGGGCTCCAGGGAAAGGTCCCTGTCTCTGCCCTCCTCTCTCCCGTGTAAACAGGACCCTGCAGCCCCTTGACCGGCCTGTCAGATCAGCACCCTACCCTGGCCAAACACATGGAAAGTTCTTTTTCCTTGTCTGGGAGCCATCAAGCCCTTTGTCTTCCCTCATCCTTTCCCCAGGTTGTTACTGTTCACAAGTGACATCCTTCCCAGAGGCCTCATCCTGCTGCTTCTCTCTCCTCTGCTTAGGATCATGCGGCCAGATGACGCCAACGTGGCTGGCAACGTCCACGGAGGAACCATCCTGAAGATGATCGAGGAGGCGGGGGTCATCATCAGCACCCGGCACTGTAACAGCCAGAACGGCGTAAGTGTGTGGGGCCCGCCACCCAGCCTGGCCGTGAGCACGTGGAAGGTTCCGGGCCCCAGGAGGCCTGGTGTCCTTTTGTGTACGCCGCCTCACCGCTGTTGGGTCAGGAAAGGGTTTTGGGTGGAGGAGCCTTCCCCTCCTCAGTCCCAGGCTTGGGAGGCTTCGGGAAGCTCTGGCCCAATCAGTCCTTGCAACAGTAGTTTTGGGCTCAGCAAGGAGGGAGGGGTGGGGACCAACAGAGACTAAGCTGAGAGCCTGCTGACAGCCACCTTTAAGCACCTTCTCCTTCTTTCTGGAAGAGTTTTGGTTTCTAGAATTCCTGGAGTCCAGACCTCACAGAGCCATGCCTGCATGGGTGGCAGTTTATTGTGGATATCATACCACCCTGGGCCCCATCCCTCCTCTGCCCTAACTGACCCCTGGATGGCCTGTGAAGCCCAAAGGTGCCCATGAGGGTGCCTCCACTCACCGCTGGGGACAAGGGCAGGGCTCTCTGGTCTTAGGACTGCAGGGCAGCCTAGAACATTCCTGTCACCTGCCATGCCCCCAGACACATGGGACCTGACATTTTCTCTGATGTCCGGCAAGCATGAGAGAATCCCCACCCTTGGGTGCTGGGGGCAGGGGGTGTCTGTCTTGTACTACAGCTGCCAACTTGGGGCCAGCAGGAAGCATAAGAGGGACAGTTTTTGTGTGTTTTTTTAAATCCTCACCCGAGGATACTTTTTTTCCATTGCTTTTCAGAGAGAGTGGAAAGGAGAAAGAGAGAAACATCGATGTGAGAGAGACATCGATTGGTTGCCTCCTGCATGTGCCCTTACCGGGGCCAGGGATCGAGCCTGCAGTCAACGTATGTCCCCTTGGCTGGAATCCAGAATCGAACCTGGGAGCCTTCAGTCCGCAGGCCGACACTCTAACCACTGAGCCAAACTGGCTAGGGCAGAGGGACAGTTTTCACACATTGGCTTGATGATACCTCTGGGCTGGTGGTCCCAGGATAGTCAGTTGTATCCAGGTTCAGGAGGGGGTTGTGAGCCCTAGGCAGCTCCAGGTGGCTGGATGCTCGCCTGGGGGCTGATGCTGGCCTCTGAGGGGCTTTGCTGGGGCTCTGGGTGGGGCAGGAAACACCCCCATCCACACTTCCCTGGTGGTCTCATCCAGTCTGTAGCTTTGACACTATGTTTAGCTGTCTCCAGGACCAGCTCCACCTGGATGCTTAATCGTTTCCTTGACCTTGATGGGCCCAAAAGACCCTCCAGGCCCACCACAGGCTGCTTATCCCGCAGTCTCCCTCTCCTCAGTAAATCACCTCTGCAGCCTCCAATTACTCAGGCCCCACCCTTCCTCTCACCGGTGGACAATGGCGGTCAATCCTGTTGGCTCCACCTGCTGGGTATTTCCAGTTCTGAGCACTACTCACAGCTTCCTCTCAACTGAGTTACTAATCAGCCTAATGGGTCTCTTGCTTGTCCCTGCCCAGCTCCCCTCAGCATGGGGTGCACACGCCCCCATACCTTCTTCCACTTGACTCCTGTCATTCAGGTCTTAGCTCCAATGTGCGTGCCCTCCCTAGAGAGGCCACCGGTCCCCTCATCTGAAGCTACCCCCTATCCCACACCACCCTCTTCAGGGCACCCACGACCACGTGGCATTGCCCTGCTATTTCTCACCCATCCCCTCCAACCAGAGCCCAGGCCCGGGGCATGAGTTCTGACTTATTCCCCCACAGACAGCTCTGAGCGCAGTGCCTGGCTCCATAAATACTGCGAGTGAAGGATGAGCCTTTGTAGCTATAAAAAAGCTCAGGTCCATCCAAGGCTCAGATGCTTAGAGATGGGAGAAACTAGCGGTTTCCATTAAAGATATTGATTTATATGTTATCTGTTGTGGGAATATCCATACCATAATTTAACCACTCTGCGGTAGAGACAGGTGTAATTCCGTTTTGGTCCTGTAAGCAGTGCTTGGATAATCCTCGGAGAAGCAGCCTGGAGGCAGGTCCCTTCTTCCTGCCTGCCCCTCTGAGCTGCCTTTCCAGCCTTCTGCCAGTGGGTGGTGCTGTAGCCACGTGAATGTACTTTCAGGTGACAGCGGTATCCCCTGCAATGCTGTCCTGTCAGTGGGTGACTGTGTTTATGTGTGCGTATTGGGGGACTGAGGAAGGTACAGCTTAGCCCATTCGCAGTCACCTTGATCTCCTGCCTTGATGAGACCTGACTCTAGGATGTTTATAGGAATAGAAATTGTCATAGAGCCCCTGACCCCATGAGCCTGAGAGTCATCCAGGAGGGCGAAGATGGAGGTCCCCTGGTGTCCTGTGGGCTTGAGGTGAGCCTGGGAATTTGCATGTTTGCAGGTACCAGGTGAGTTCTTTTGCAGGTGAGAGAGCCATAGGTTGGTGCCACGGTGGCAGCGGACAGCTGATGGCAGGGCTCGAACTGACAGTTGCCTGCAAGCCTTGTATCTCCACCCTTATAGAGGCACAGGGCCTGACAGGCTCTCAGTCGTGAGCCCGTCTCCTGTTCCCCACCATCCCCTCCACCCAGTCAGACCCATGCTGCTGTCAAGTCTGCTAAAAAAGATGATTGCTTTCCCGTAGAAAGTCACAGAGGTGCTAAGTGCCCTGTGTGGCAATGAAGATGCACAGTCCCTCTGCTCAGACACAAGGTGTCTTTCGTGTCATTCAGTTAGCACGGATGGAAAATAAGTGTTGGTGTCAGGAGGTGCTGGGCCACGTTAAGCACTGCTGACCTGTTGAGAAATACTCTGAGAACATATGTCAAAGCATTTGTCCTTTCCACTCAGGAAACAGTTCCCAGTACTGAAAACACTTTAAGTAAAAGGATGCCCATCACAGAATTACTTATAATTAGCAACTGGGGTCGACCCAGATTTCTAACAACAGAATATTCCATTCTATTTAGCCATTAAAGTTTTTTCGCCATGGGGTAGTGGGGAAAGACAGTCATGAAAGAGTGAGGAAGTCCTTCAGGCTCCGACACAGATGAGCTTCCTCCCCAGTGGGTCGTACAGGCCCTGCAGCCACCGTGTACTCCCTGGCTGTGTCAGTCGTTTACCGAGCGCATCCTGGGTGGCTGGGGACAAATGACCAGAGGCAGACCTGGGGTCCTTTTGTTCCTTTTGAATTTTGAGTCATGAGAATGGGTTGCCTGGTTGAAAACTAAGTAAAATTTAAAAGAACAGTGGTTGCTAAGAGCTTGTCATATTTTTATTGTTATTTTTCCTCGTTATTTTTCCTCCTGTTAAGTGAAAAAAAACTGACTATGAAAATGTAAATTTAGCTTTTACACATTTATTTAAGGACTAAAACTGCAAAACAGGGATCAAGGCAAAGGAACAAATGAGCCAGTGAAACCCTATTCTTAGGGGAAAAGCCTGGAAAGGAAGATCAAAATAGAAACTGCGCTTATCTTTGGCTGGGAGGAGTGGTTTTTCCTCCTCTGTCTACTTTTCTGTATTTCCCAAATTTTCCATATAAGTATGTGTGCCTTTTTTCACCTTTCATTATGCAAGCAATGCATGTCTTTTGTAGAAAAATTAGGTAAAAGAAAAAAGCCACTTGCAATCCCACCACTCAGAATCACGGTAGCAGTCTCTGGGGGCTCCCATGGGGCGTCTCTACACCTCCTGTGCTGTCGAATTTAGAACGTGTGAAAAAAATCAAGGCGGGTTTGGAGGAGCATCTCCAGGGGGGGCTCACCGGCTGGGCTGACCCGTGTCTGGTCTTTGCAGGAGCACTGTGTGGCTGCCCTGGCTCGGGTTGAGCGCACCGACTTCCTGTCGCCCATGTGCATCGGTGAGGTGGCGCACGTCAGCGCAGAGATCACCTACACCTCCAAGCACTCGGTGGAAGTCCAGGTCAACGTGATGTCTGAGAACATCCTCACAGGTAACTTGTGCGCTCTCACCAGCTTGGTTGGGAGCAACAGTGACAGCAATGATAAGGCAGGAGCCACCTCTCACATCGATCGAGGGCTGACTGCTGGAGGGGCTGCTCCTCACACTGTCCACAAATGACCTCCTTTAATTCCTGCCTCCACGTGTGAGCAGGAACCCTGCAGGCGGAAACAACACAGACTGCTTAAGCAGTGAGCCCAAGATCCTGTGCCCAGAGCCCTGGCCTTCGGGCCCTCCTCCTGAGTGTGCGAGAACTGCCTGCCCTGCCTTCCAGCAGCTCATCTAGGCAGAGGGGTGGGACTGGTTGGGAGGGCACAGTGTCCTCTGGTCCCTCTGCTGTGTCTCCCCTGCACCTCTTGCCCTTCCCTGCTTCCCTGCCCCCAAACCAGGTTGAGGCTGAAGCTCACTGGGTGAACCTTTGACTTTGGTGTGATCTGAATACTGTTCTCCTCGGCATGGTAACCATGGAAACCCCTTTCCATCTTCCCACTGGGCTCCGCAGGGGAGTGTGGCTTTGGTTCGCACTGGCACCGGCTGCTTTTTATAACCCGGCTGCTGCTGAGGAACATAGGCCCTTCTTTCCCCTGGCTGCTCACCCCCCATGTCATCCCAGGCCACCCACCCCAGGCACAGGAGAGTCCGCCCAGGTTCTGGAGGAAGGAGCTGCCTGGGCCTCGCACCCTCCTCCGGCGCCCTTCCCTGGCTGAGGCTGCCTGCCGAGAGCTATGCCCAGAGCTCCGCGAGGGGCTCAGGCTTCTCTCCCATGGGCCAGGAGCACACTTACCCACCTGGAACATCCAGTGAGCTCAGCAGGCCCGGCTACAGTGAACACAGGGAACACTAGCTGAGCAAGGGCCTGGGCAAGGGGAGCGGTCAGCGTGCCTGTGCCTTGCATCAGTGGCCTAAGCCCTGAACGGGGCAGGTGGCTATGACATCAAAGGGACCTTCTGATGCGGGTCTCTGGCTGTGGCACAGAAAGGGATGCCAGGCACTGTTTTCCCACATGGTGGCCTTGGGTTCTCTGTCATGCCCCCTCCCCCTGCGGTTTGCCCCTGGGCTGTGCTGGGGGCTGGCTGCCCCTCCTGGGGGAAAAGAAAAGTGGCTGCGCTCCCTGCCTCTTCGGACCCTGATGCTTACTGCCGGTAGCAATTTCAGCAGTATTGTTTTGTCACCGTGATTTTCCAGTGTCAGGGAGTCAGTAGCTTCACAAAAGGGGGTGGGGCCTGCTTTACAGATTCCTGTCATTGAAGCCCCCTTTCTGGCATGGGAGGAGATGCTGCAGCCCCAGAGGAACCCTGTGAGCAGAGTGCGAATGAGAGGAGAGCGAGAGGCCGGAGAGGCCTTCCTGGGCTCTCAGGGCGACCTCACCTCCTTTCCTTTGTCCCAAGTCTCTATCAGGCCCTGGGGAAATGGGAGGAAGAGGGTGCACCTCACTAGGCACCCAGGGTTGGAGGTGGTCACCTCTTGGTGGGAGGAGGGGGCAGGTGGCCCATGTAGGCCACTCTGAGCCTTAACTTCAGGGAATGTGCAGTTCTGTCATTGCATTGCCAGCTGGGAGCTGCATCTTTGAAGAGAACGTTCCAGAAGGCACCAGACAGGTGGGAACAGTTGGAGAGGCCCCCTTGCTGAGGTCCCACTCCTGACATACTCATTTTCTAAAGGATCCCGCCTGCTGGGGGCAGGAGTGGACAGAGCGGTGGGAGACTCTGGCCCAGAGCCTGTGTTGGTGTGAGGGCAGAGTGGGCGAGAAGACAGCCCTGTGCCCTGGCCTGCCTGTAAGGATGCCCTCCACCTCCCTGAGCATCCTGGCCACGGTGCCCTTGGCCTTGCTCCTTCCCTGCAGATGGCTGGAAGGACCTGGACTGCCCCACAAAAGAGGGAACTGGTGGGGAGGTGCAGGCATTGTTATCCCATTGTGCAGAGGAGAAACCGGGCTCAGACAGGGCAAGGAAAGGGCGGCACTTCCCAGGTTTTGGAGGTGGGCTGGAGTCCCAAGGGCTGGGGCTTTTCTCAACATCTTGGTTATCTTTCCCCAGGGCCACTGTTAAAGAGCTGACACCCCCTTTTTTACTCTCATCTCTGGGTCTCTGTCTCTCACCCGCCCCCTGTGCATCTATTTCTCTATAGTCCCCTTGCTGTCTTCCCATGTTTGGATCCAGTTGTATCTCTGCTATTCTCAAGGCTTCCCTGTCCTGATGTGTGTCTTTCTGTACATATGTCCCCTGGGATGTGAGCTCTCTGAGGGCAGGGCTTGTGGCTGCCTTGTCCACTGCAGTCCCCCAAAGTCTAGAGCAGTGCCTGGGCCAACGGCCCCCAGTGAACACTGGCCGGATGGGCCGGTGAACTCTGACAGGTGGGGAGACTGAGGTTGGCGGGCAAATGGCCCGACAAGGCTGAACCATGAAGCTGTTTGTGTGATACCTCCGTGTTTCTCAACTCTAGGAGGCAGGGTTCCCCCATCCTGTGTGTCCCCTTCATACGGGCTGCACCGCCTGTCAGGAGGCAGTTGAACGAGCACACACCCAGGCAGACAACCAGCAAAACCTTTGCCTTCAAGATGGTTCATTCATCTCCGGCAACTGTCAAAATATTAAGCTAACTGGGATGTGATTACTGTGAATTGCTCCAGAAAATAGCTGGGAGCTCTTAAGATTTTAAAATAGATGTTTCTAATGCTGCAGTTGCCTTTTGATGGTTTTATTAAATGATGGAGAAAGTACAATTAGTATGTTTTGCCTCATTTGCTCCATGGAGCTCATTTAGGTCTAGAGGAGGGCCACTTGGGGTTTCCATGGAAACCAGCTTGTCAGGCTGGCTCTAGCTGAGTCAGACAGGAAATCTTTATTCCCAAAAGCAGGTTGTCAGATTCGCTTTCAGTCAAAGTGCAGTGAAAATATTTTGCATATTTGCCTGTGGTTCCCGAGCGTGGGAACCCTTTGTCCTAGTGGTGCTATTGGACCAGAGCCTCATTCTCACTCTCATTCTTCTAATCAACCCCCTCGGGCTTGGCTTGGTCCTTGGGGCTAAGTTTTGGGGAGGAAGCTGCAGCCCCTGGTTCACCTTTGGAAGGCAGGTCAGAAGGAACTGCTAGGAAGTGAGCTCCTGGAGGGACTTCGGGGGTTGCCACTCCCTGCCTTCCCTGCTTTCTCTGTTTCCCTCATTTTCACTATGCTCCTTTACTTTGGGACTCTTCCATGTTGAAGAGGCAATTTCTAAAAGACATCCTTGCAAATACTTCCCTGAAATTCCTGGGTCTGTACTCAGAATGGCACCGAGTTGCTGTGTGACCTTAGGCAAACCCATTGACCTCTCTGGGCTTCAGACTCCTATACAAGTGAGGAGTATGGACCAAGTGATCTCTTTTGGTTCGTGTTTCTCAGCCTCACTGTGTCCTGAGGCCAGGCTCAGTGCCCCAAGGAAGGATCTGTTTCCTGTCATTCTGCCAAGAGTAGAAGTCAGCCCACAGCTCATCTCAGCGCTCCATCTGGAAGCTTCTGGATTGGAGGTCTGAGTCTGCCAGGCAGCAAATCCAAGCTTCTGGTGGAGCCTTTTATCTTGAAGGAGGGAGCACTGAGGAAGTGCCTGGGGTCGAAAGGGTGGGCCTTGATGGGCTCACCACACAGCTGTGCTCTGGGCTGTGACCCAGTAGCTGCCCCTTCCCGAGCTGCCCATGTGGCTGTGTGGGCTCTGCCTCCACATTCCCTCTGAGCCTCATGACCATGTACTGCTGCTTTTCCAGCCCCCTCTGGCAGGAACTCTTCTCTGCAGCATTTAGAATTTAGACAGGTGGGCGGATCCAGCAGTGTGTGACCTCGAGTTTCTCAGTGGGGTGTTCTTGAGATTGAAATTAGTGTCCGCTGGATCTGCTGGTGGAGGCCCAGGCTTAGCCTGGCACGGCCCCAGCTTTGTTCCCTCCTCTGGCTTGTCTCCCTCTTCCCTGAGAGGCAACCGAACCAAGGGTCTTCCCCAGGTTAGTCTGCCCCTCCCCACAGCCCTTCTCTCCATCTGGCAGCTCCTCAGAGCCTTCTGGTGTGTGTTACTAACCAAACTTCCCTTCTATCAAAACACCTTTAAAGACAGCATGCCTGGTTTTGGTGCCTGCAGGTGTGAGACCTCCATGTTAGCAAGTGCTGGAAAGGATTCCCCAACAGGCCTGGGGAATCCCCTCACCCCCAGGCTTCAGCCAGGTGATCTGAAGTCTTTCCAGCAGCCTTTGGAGAGTGACAGCATTGCGGGGAGGGTCACCTTGTTAGGGGTCTATGTTTGCACCTCATTGCTAAAGGCCTTGGGGGCCAGGGGTCAGAGGTGGTGGCTTTTCAGCCCACCTGCTGGGTTCCTGGCACCCTCTGTCCTCTCTCCCTAGGCCTTCACTCATGTGGTTTTCTTCTTCAAAGGTACCAAAAAGCTGACCAATAAGGCCACCCTGTGGTATGTGCCCCTGTCACTGAAGAACGTGGACAAGGTCCTGGAGGTGCCTCCGGTTGTGGTAAGGAGGCCCCTTCCATTTCTCACTGGGGGCAGATCGCAGAAGCTTGGTCATTCTTGTGATGGTGGGAGATGTCCAGGAGAGCCACAACAGGGGGCCAGGAGAGGGGCGACCCTTGTTTAGGGTCTCTCAGCGCAGGTTTAATTCAAGCTGGGAATATGAGTGTAGGCTGGCCCAGACCCCATGGACACTCCTCCCAAGGACCCTTTATCACACTCTCCGACCAGAGAAAAGGCCAAGCCTAGTGAGTGGTCCCTCTGCCTGTTGACCTTAAACAGACAGACATCCAGACATTTCTCTAGCAAACTGGGCTTATTCAGGAACAATAAAGAATTGAAATTTGGGACCTATAGTCTAATGGCAAACCACCCACAAGTCCAGAGAACAAAGGAGAGACAGGCTCTTTTATAGAGGAAAGGGGGAGTGCAGAGGGGCTGTTCTAAACAGAGAATCCATTGGAGGAAACTGGGAGTCTGAAGTGTGGTGGCTTCTCACTGGTTGAGTGGTTGCCAGGCAAGGAGAAGATCCTTTTTCCTGCTGGAGGGTGGAGTAGAAAACATCTTCCTGTTGGAGATGGAGAGTATGTCTTTATGTTTGGGGTAACTGACGATGAGTGGTAGGCATGAGAGCCCGCCAACTCCAATTTAAATGAGGTTTCTGTTCATGAATCTTCACATGCTGAGAGCCAGGACCGCCAGGCTGCCCCCCCCAGGCCAGCCTCTGCCCATCTCAGTTCCTCTGGGTCCCTGAGGAAATGGATGTTAAGACAGCTCTATTTCTGCCTCTTCCTTGGTTTCTCTGTTTGGTTTTGCTGTGGACAGATGCACATCTTTGCATGGAGAGACTTTGCTGTGTCTGTCCCTGGGGACCCCTGAGTAGTCAGGGTCAGCAGGGCAGGCTTCAGAGGGCATACATGTGGCAGGCAGAGGAGTGGAGTTTCTTCCCTACAGTTACTCCCTCACCTCCTCCTCTCGCAACTCCCATGTCCCTAGATGTTCCCAGGACACACATGAATGGCTCGCCCATGGGGTCCACTGCTCCCTGCTCTCGCCCCTGAGAGGAGAAAGGGTTCTTAGAGGGAAACAGATGGGTGCTCTAATAGCATCTGCCTCTGCGGGAGCCTTTGTCTTCCTGCCATCAGTATGTATATTGAGCACACTTTTTAAAATAATGAAACTGGGTACCTAACAGTGACCCCTGGCGTTCCTTGGCTTGTGGCCACATTACTCCAATCTCTGCTTCCATTGTCACATGGCCACCTTCCCGTGTGTGTGTGTGTGTGTGTGTGTGTGTGTGTGTGTGTGTGTGTGTGTGAATCTCCTTATACAGACACTAGTCATTTGGTTTAGGGCCCACCCTGCTCTGGTATGACCTCAAATAATTACACCTACAGAGGCAGCCAATCAATGACTCTCTCATCATTGATGTTCCTATCTCTCTCTCTCTCTCGCCCTCTCCTTTCCTCTCTCTGAAATCAATAAGATATATTTAAAAATAATAATAATAATTACACCTGCAGAGACCCTAGTTCCAAATAAGGCCACATGCACAGCTTCCAGGTGGACAGGAATTGTGACGACACTCTTCAACCCAGAACACCACCCTTC